GTTGGTAGATTGTAGTCTTAGGAGGAAGTGGTTTTGTTGGTTCTGCAATATGCAAGGCTGCGGTATCCAAGGGCATAGATCTCCTAAGTCTAAGCAGGTCTCAAATATTATCTCAACTGGTTTAACTTGCTCATGTTGCCTTTTTCTGGGGCATTACGAGCTTATTGCTTTTATAAGCTTTTGAAGTATTTGTAATGATTTTTTTGAAAACTTAAGCTTTGAATTTTGATTGTTACATCAGGTCAGGGCGTCCTACTTACACTGGCTCGTGGGTGGATCAGGTTAACTGGATACCAGGCAAGTTTTATCTTCCCTTACAATTATATTGAGTATGTAACATTGAATGTTAGGGTCCTGAACTTGCTTTTGAAACTTATTTCCTTTTGGCATGGATAGCTGATAATATAGGAAGAATAACATGCTTGTAGATGACTAGTTATCTTTTAGAAGCTTGAGAATCAACAATCCTAGACTTGTTTCATCTCTCAAGTGCAACAAGAGAGCTACATACGTCTTTTGTTGTTGCATACATTTTGCATTGATCCTACCTTCCTATAACCCTTTGAGTAGACTGTTGCTTACCGACAAAATCTTACTTAGGTTTGGGTTTATGTAAATGTTTCTTGCTATTTGATTCATCTTATTCTTAGTTCACTTGTCCATATTTGTATAGGAATATGAGTTAACAATTTAGCTTGTTGTTTCACATGAGATGTTTTTTATGCTAACTGGGATGAAGTACTTGTTGGAGCTACAGCTGTGATTTCAACTCTTGTAGGTATTGGCAGTGAGGAGCAGATGAAAAGAATTAATGGCGAGGCTAATGTTGTGGCTGTAAATGCTGCCAAGGATTTTGGTAAGGATTGCTGGTGATAACTTATATCTTATTAAATTCACAAGTTAAATTCTTGGTCAGGAATATATCCTTAATGCCTTCTATTTTCCTTGTAGGGATTCCAATATTTATCTTAATTTCAGTTCATGATTACAACCTACCGCTATTTTTACTTCAATCTGCATACTTCACATCGAAGAGGAAAGCAGAATCAGAAGTACTATCCAAATATCCAAACTCAGGTAATTTTTAATGACTTAACCTTCTTTGTTCTTACGCACAGGTAACATAAGATTTGTATTTGCCTGACTAATTATTTAAAACCAATAGCAAGATAGAGATTTCTTACAAACAATTAGCTGGTAGGAGCAGTCATTTGGTAATAACCTGATTTGAAGCTATCTTTATGACTTTGAAGGAAAGGGAAAGGTGGTAGACTAGGTTATTTGGTAACATCTAAGTGAGAACTCTGAAAGAAGAGTTATCATCAGTACCTGGTTGTTATACATATCAACCAAACCTGGGGCACCTCACCGAGTTGAACAACTTGACCAAGAAAGGCTCATCCAACTATGTACGTCACATCAGGATCCACTGGAAGACTTCCCCAGCACATCCAAGTAGACATGCAATACAATCTTTCATACCTTTGCCACCGGGTACCTAAGTTATGGCCCAGTCACATTCTAGGAAAGCATTTCATGGTCCCACCACCAACCTTACACAATAGGTTCAGTTCCATTACCAATACAAGACCACCCTCTCCATCACCAGAAGAGCTGAGATTCTACTCATCCATTACCATAGAAACTCTACCAGGCTATCTCCAAAACTCTCCATCTTTGTCAGACTCAGATCCCTCCAAACCTCCACTAATGGCTCTCAACACCACCGCATGAACTGTCCCTAACCTTCACACGCAAACGTTGTATCAATAGTGGTAAACTTTATAAGATTGTATTCTTTTAGAACTTGTGTCCACCTGAATATCATGTATCCAACTGTCCCCAAGTTTAATTTACTTTTGAAACCTTTTTTTGTGCTCTAATCCTTCTGTAGTGAGTGTCCCAACTGTTTTTTGGTTTTGGATTTCAGGTGTTGTCCTAAGACCAGGTTTTATATATAGAAAGAGGCGAGTGGATGGTTTTGAGCTTCCACTTGATCTGGTCGGGGAACCACTGGAAAAAGTTCTTAGTGCTGTAGAGAACTTCACAAAGCCCTTTAAATCTCTTCCATCGTCTGATTTGATATTGGCTCCACCAGTTAGCGTAGATAATCTTGCATATGCAACCATCAATGCAGTAACAGATGATGACTTCGGCGTTTTCACCATCGAACAAATCAAAGAAGCAGCAGCAAAAGTGAAAGTTTGAATCACTTCCACACATTGAACTAGTTGTCATAATCTCTAGTGTTTCAACATCTGCAATACGGCTCTTGATCCGATCACGAATAATAACTAAATGCAAAGTTGAACTGTTGTAAAGTTAAAAAAGTTTTACCTATAAACAACATATATATATATATATATATATAGACAACAACAATAATAAAACCCTATTCTCATATGCAATGGGGTAAATAAATGTAGGGTAGTAGGTTGTTCTCAACACCAGGTTGAGAAAAGCTTCCGTGGGAGATCTCCGGCAGTCACAAAAATTACAAATAAAAATAAAATGCAATGCATGTATAAATAAATAAATAAATACATAGTTGATTATTATTTTTAATTAGCAGTCTTTTTATGCGTATTTGTAATGGGAAGTAATCCCTGCAAATAAATCTCTGCATAAAAATCTCTGCAATATAGACAGAAACGTAAGATCCGACTAAATTTAAAAAGAGGAAACATGAAGAGAAAGATACACAGAAGTCAACGATAGCAAGCTACGAGAAGGAGTAAAGTCAAATGTGTTAAAACCTAAACTAAGGCAACACTATTATGCTACCCTAGATCTAAGCCTTCATAAATTTCAATAACAGAAACGTGAAAAAAAGTAGAAGTCAGTGAAATTACTACAAATGCATTAAAAAGAAGACAGATGTTATAACATATGTCTGTGATCCGCACTACTCGACTACCCTGGTCTTAAGTCTCCATACTTTCCTATCAGAGGTCATATCCTCGGTAAGGGTTAAATCCTTCAAGTCAGATCTTAAGCAGTCTTCCCACTTTCGCCTTGGTCGTCCTCTCCTTCTTGCACCGTCGACTGTAATCAACTATACCCTCCTGACCGTATCCGACGATTGTCGCCTAAGGACATGCCCAAACCACCGTAGTCTTCCTTCCCTCAATTTTTTAGATACATACACCACCCCCAAAGACGTCCTAATAGCAGAGTTTAGTGTCATGTCCCACAAAGTCCTACCACATGCCCATCGAAGCCTTCTCATTTCTGCGGTCTCCATCCTCCTTACGTGATCCTTCTTGATTGCCCAACATTCCGATCCATACAGCAGTGCTGGTCTTATTACCATTCTATAAAATTTTCCCTTAAGTTTTAGAGGCACCTTCTTGTCACACAAAACTCCAGTAGCAACCCTCCACTTTAGCCATCCTGCCTTTATACGGTGTGTCACGTCATCATCAACACCCCCATTTTTATGTATCATAGACCCTAAGTACTTGAAACAGTCCTTTGAGGGGAGAACGTGTCCTTCTATGCAAACTTCTACATATTCATCGTTTTGTATCCCACTGAAGTTTGAACATAAATACTCCGTCTTTGCAATATTGATCCTTAGACCTTTTTCTTCCAAAGCAGTCTTCCAAGTAGTCAGTCTATTATTCAACTCAGTTTTTGTTTCAACAACTAGGACAATGTCATCTGCGAAAAGCATACACCATGGAAAACCGTCTGGTGTCGCACAGTAGATGTCGTCCATAATCAAGGCGAATATGTAAGGGCTAAGAGTCGACCCCTGGTGGAGTCCGATTTCCACCGGGAATGCCTGGGTGTCGTCAACTGTAGTCCTGACGTATGTAATATATCTACAGTACATATCACGAATCGCCCGGATATAAGCAGTTGAGATCCGTCTCGTTTCCAAGATCTTCCAGATCGTATTGTGGGGAACGCTATCATACGCCTTCTCAAGGTCAATGAACGCCATGTGAAGATCTATATTTTTTCCCTATATTTCTCCATAAGCCGTCGAAGTAGATGAATCGCCTCCGTAGTAGACCTGCCTGGCATAAAGCCAAATTAGTTTTCCGAAACCTTAGTAACTTGTCTCAACCTAGCCTCTATCACTCTTTCCCATAGCTTCGTGGTATGGCTGAGTAGTTTAATACCTCTGTAGTTGCCACAGCGTTAGGGATCTCCTTTATTCTTATAGATTGGTATCACAGTAGACTCTCTCCACTCCTCTGGTATCTTGGCAGTCTCTAAAATAATATTAAAGATGTTGGTCAACCACTGAACTCCATCTTCTCCTAGGGTCAACCACACAGTGATAGAAATTTGATATGGACCGACAACTTTGTCCCTCCCCATCTTTCTAAGAGCCATTTTGACTTCATCAAACCCAATCCTACTTGTAGGGCAGTCATTGGCCGTAGTATGATGGTCGGTTGACCCATCAACGGCACTCAATTTAAAATTTTCTTGAATTGAGTGTAAAATCACTTTAATCATGACAAAATTTAATTTTTTAAAGTAACTGTTATAATTGACCATGAAATACAATTATATAAAACTATCATGCTATATATTATTTTCATTACTTTTTTAGTCTTTTTGGAAGATACTTTTTAAATTTGAATATTTGTTTATATAATCAATATATTTTTAGAAAAAAATGTAATAAATATTTTATTTTTTAAAGCATAAATGATATCATGATTTGAATAAAAACTCTTTTTTGTTCCACACGAGAAAAAATAAAAGAAACTTCATTTTATTCATTAAACAGCAGAACACTTGTGTTTCTCATATTCCAGTCAATCACGAGTGTCTTCAATCGGGCCCCCACTCATTTTAGTATTAGGTCCATCTTTTTCCAATTCTATCCGGTCAAAATTCTTGTTTCCCCCAATTACCCTTCATAGGAACTGTCTTTTAGGTTTTAAATAATTGGGTAAATTACACCGTTCTTCACCAAAGTTTATTCTCTCTCCTATTTTATTAACTGTACTTTTAATTTTTTTAATTTGCTCACTAAATTTTATAGATTAAATTAGTTTGCTCCCTTTGCTGTTATCTCACTAACGTTGTGATGACGTGTCATTGAACTTTACTCTCCTATTTTGCTCACTTAATTATAAAATAAAAATAAAAGGTGGTCGGACGCCACTATCGACCGTCGTAGATGGTGGCCATTCAGTTTCAAATTTCTTGGGTCTCTTCGCTTCGACATCTTGAGTCTGAATTTGACCTATATTTTGTCAAAATTTGCTCCGAAGTCCACGAATTGGAGATTGAAAGTGAGGAAGTCGAAAAGTTTCAGTTGAGATTCACAGATTTTGAGATATTTTTCCTGTGAAATAACCAATAGATTCAAACTCAAAGGGTCGAGATGAACCGACTCATGAATTTTGAGATCGAATGGCCACCACCAATGATGGTAGACGGTGGCCATAATGAAAAAATGTTGTGGTGGTCAGCGGTGACAACCAATCATTTTATTTGCAAAGTAACGAGAAAATGGGAAGAAATAAGATGATTTGAAATGACGTCGTTTTGATATATATTTGAGTTTTTCAAAAGGACATCCTTTTGATGCTTGTGACATGTCATAACATTGTTAAAAAGTTAACGACAGAGTGAGCAAAATAATTCAATTTGTAAAGTTAAGTGAATAAATTAAAAAAATTGAAAGTAAAGTGAGTAAAATAAGAGAGAGTGTAAAGTTGAGTGAGGAACTATGTAATTTACCCTAAATAATTTTTTTAATCCCGAAATGACCCTTATCCACGTACACCAATTTCCTCTCCAGAGACTGAGCCGTGGATGACGGATCCAATAAAAGATCGACACGTTGATAGAACAATATGTCACGGTTGATTACTTTATCGTTTCCCCGTAAGTGAACTTCGATAGTTGGATTCTCCATTGCTTTTCGTCCAAGAATGCGACATGAAGTAAAAGGAAATTACTAATACTGACTTAGGGTTCTACAATTTCCGTTTTCTTTTTATATCCCCATCCCCCCTTCTTTCCAAAGAGAAGCGAAAGAATCACTCCAGTTTTTCTCATCTGCAGGTAATATTTTTCATTATTCTTTTAGTTTAGGCTTTATTTTCCTATATGTTTCTTGGCTTTAATTTCTAAGAGCGAATTATATAGATCGGTCCTGATATTGGCATCTGCGAGGCGTTGAATTCATTCTGTTGAATGATTAATTCTTTTGATGATCTCTGTGGTACTTGTTTTCTTAGAGGATCAAGAAAATATTGTAGTATTCTAATTTTGAGAAATTATGCTTTAAGATTTTCATTTTCTCCATTTTCCAGTTTTTGCGATAAATTGCAAGATCTTCTAATATATTTGTTATAATAAATTTTTGTTTGACTTAGTTTCGGTTCTAGAAAATTATTTATTTACGTTCTTTTTTTTAATAGAAACAGGAATGTATGTTCTAAGGTTGAAATTTTCTATTTTAAATTTGTCGATCTCATTGATTTCACGAGAAACACCAGATTTCTTGTTATTCTATTATTATTATTAATATTATTATTATCTTGAGTCTATCTATTTCTGAGAATTTGCTAGTTTTTCTGAATCTTTGTTTTGTTTGGTTTCACTATTTTTTGCTCAATTTTCTTGACAGAAATCAGTGCAGGATTAGAATTTTTGGAATACTTTCTGTTGTTTTTTTGTTGTCAATGCTGTTTCTGTTTCGAGATTTATGTAATTAGTGCTTACTATTGAGTGAATTTTGTGATTTTGTAGAAAGAAATATTATTATTTTTAAGGCCAGTTTGATATATGATACTTAAAATTGATTGCTTAAAAGCTCTAAATAAAGAAAAGTATAAAAACATTTCTTCTGTGGGTTTCTTTTATAAATTTGAACATATAAAAATGGAACCAAAGAATTGTTGAGTCATAAATTTTATAAAATATTTTGCTACAATATCTGTAGGTCTTTTATGTTGCATCAGGAGGCAGGGTACCAATTGCTGTAGAATAATAAAGAAGTTGCTATCTCTTCTCTGAAGTAATTGTAAAGAAAAAAAATGAAGAGGAACATGTGCAAAATGACGCGTGCGACATGGAAATGTACAGGATTGACACTAACTTCAGTTCTAGGTATGTGTTCCTCTTGCTGTGTGGTGATTCTGATGAGTTTGGTTTGATATGCTTTCAGTTGTTTCATGGTTGCTTATGTTCCAATTAGTATGGCTTCATATCCATGCCATTTAATGTCTTGACCCTTTTTCCTTTTTTCAGGATTTGCACACCGACTTTTAGGAGATGGTGTCTTTTAGTTTGGTAGAAGGTTAGACTTTGAATTCTTTTTTACTGTAGAAGTATTGGTTTTATACTTGTTGATAGGGATTCATCTAGGCAGAAATGGCAGCACCGAATGCCACAGTATTGGATAGTAAGCCTTCGGTTTTGCATGGCTCAAAGAGGAAGCTGGCAACACAGCTTACGACAGAGTTTCCTGGGGCTTCACATGTGATTTCACCTCGGTTGCCTGGCTTGTGTTTAGCTTCCCAGAAACATGGCAAGCGCAGGAGATTAGATGATTGCAAAGGCAGAGTTGTGAGTTGTGGTTTTACTTCAAAAAGATCTTTGTTACTTTGCTATTCAAATTTTAAGAAAACAGGCATTCCAAAGCGCATAATGTACTATGAGAAGGGTGAATGGACTGATATTCCCCACGATCTTATTGCCTCAATCAGGAAAGATCTTGATACAAAGAAGCCAGTTATTGAGGCTGAGATAGATGGTCAATCTTTTCTGCTAGATTTCTTGCATATGTTTCAACTGGAGCTGGAAACTGGCGTAATGCACCCGATTGCTTGGATTGATGAAGCTGATGGCTGTTTCTTTCCTGAGACTTTTACCAGTGGTGATGGAGAATGCCAGTGCTGTGAACATGAATATGTGAATGATCAAGAAGATATGTTTAGTGAATCTCATTTCCCCCATGAGATCAAGCTTCACCTTGAGATTGACATTAATGGTGTTGAGCAGCCAAAGTTGAAGGAATGTAGTGGGGAGTCGAGCTCTTTTGAGAGACATATTCAAATTGCTCAGAAACCTGCCTCTAGTTATTGTGCTATAGAAGTTGAGGATAATTGCAATAGGGATGCTGATGGAGAACCCAAGAAAGCTGTTGAGGATATTCAAGAGACAGAGATAAACTCGGTCCATGAAAACCAGTTTGTAGATGTACCGTTCAATGAGCAGTTGGACTCTTCTGCTGTTGAGAACATGTTTCTCATGAGTATGAACCCTTGTGGAGGTATGGATATGCTTGATATAAAACCCTGCTCCAGTACACAATATAGATTAGAAAGATTCCTTAAACAGGTTGAAATCATGAAAAAGTATAGGGGTATTGCAAATGTTCAATGTGCATGGCTTGCTTCCTCCAAAGCAGCATTGTCCACCATCATGATGCACGGGCTTGCGCACTGCGGTCTTTCTGCAATCCCACACTTATATGGCTCTGGTATTCATCTTGCTGCATCAGAATATATTAATGCCAGGTTGGAGGTTCCTCATTGTTTTTTCTCCTAGTACTGCTAAATATGAAAGTCTTTTATTGTTTTGCTTTCTCTCTTGGAAAATGTTGCAAGGGTAGTGATATTTTGTAAATTACAAAATGATCGGTTCTGCCTTGCTTTTTGGAATGCCCTACCTTTCCTGTTGCATCAGAATATATTAATGCCACACTTTGCGATTACAAAATGATTTGTTCTCTGTTGCTTTTTGAAACAAAGTATGAATGAAGTTAGTCATCCATTTTTACCTTATAACGAGCCTTGGCTGTTTAAGTGCTTAGAATATAATAAATGAAACTGTTTTTTCGCCTTTTTTTTTCTACTCTTTGTTTTAAGTTTCCCAAAAGTGGACATTATTTAGATTCCACAATAGGAGTTTTATGGATTCAACTATGGAAATGCATGTAGGATATTTTTTGTTCCACTTTCATGATTCATGTACATGTAAGATTCACTCTGAACACAGATTTGTTGCTTCTATAAAATTTACTTTTGATGCTCCTTGATATATCTTTCATTTGTTTTTAGTTACCACTGGCTAGTATCTGTTTTCTTCAGTTCTTTTCCTTTATCTGCCATTTGTTTTTAGAATCCAATCCGTTTTTTAAAACATCTTCAAGGTACTTTTTTCATACTATGTTGATGTTGAGGGCTGAATGTTATTTTTTATTTGTGCAGTGCAAAGTATTGTGATATTGACGAAAATGGCGTACAGTACATGATATTATGTCGTGTAATAGTGGGAAAGACAGAGCTTCTTTGCCCTGGAAGTGGACAATTTCTTCCTAGCAGTGAGGATGTTGATAGTGGAGTGGATGATCTTCAGCATCCAAAGTATTATATTACCTGGAACATGAATATCAATACACATATTTATCCTGAATTTATTGTTAGTTTCAAGCTCTCCTCCAATGCTAAAGGTGATATATGCATTCTTCCTTTCTGTCATCTAACATCACACTGGAAGCTATTCTCAACACATAGAATATTGCAATTAATTTTGATGATTGGCAATCAACTAAATGACTATCAATCATGTAATCTCCATTTCAGCCTTGATGGCCAAAGTTCTTTGTTAATTTAAGAAACAAAGCTTCATCCCTGTGTGTTGTTATCCACCTTTTGGTTGGGAATTTGTTTTTCCGCTTGAGATCACTGATAGCTCCCGCTGGTTCAATGGCTTGGTTGTGTTTTCTGCAAGTTCTGTAGGGCTATATATAAATATTTCAAGTTTTTTAGCTCTTGAAATTTATTTTGTACCAACAGGCCATTCGATTGGAAGTGAGGCTAATCATGCTGTTTCAGGTGTTACTGCCTCATCGAAAGGATTCCAAGGGCATTCGTCATGCAACAATATATTCAGGATAAATGTGCGTGTTGATATTATTTGCCTATTTGCAGGCTGAAATGGCAGTCTTGAAATACATATATATTTTGAGGTTTGCTTATTTTGATGCTGTTATGCTTTTGTCATTTAGGGGAGTATTAATCACCAAAATTCAGATTCAAGGGGATTCCAAGAAAATGATCCTACTCTAGGTTCAAGGACCCCTAAATCCCCTTGGATGCCTTTCCCTATGTTGTTTGCTGCTATCTCAAATAAGATTCCTCGTATAGATATGGACCAAGTTTCTAATCATTATGAACTATTCAGGGTATGTTTGATAACATGTTTAATTGTTAGTTTCTCCCTGGTTTTAAATAAAGTTTCTGATTCTTCTGTATTACTATATCGTTTTTGCCCCAAAAGGCAAAGAAGATAACTCGCAGTGATTTTGTCAAAAAGTTGAGATTGGTAGTTGGGGATGCTTTGTTAAGGTAAACAATTACATCTCTGCACCGCGAGGTATGATATTAGACTTGCATGTTTTAATTGCTCTTCAATGCGATGCCACTACAATATGTTACTTTGATTTATAGTTGATCTAATCTAATCTTCCGGCAATTTGTGGATACCATCTAGGCATGAATTGGAGGTTGCAAAACAGAACATGAAGGGTCCTGAAAGCCTCTGAGTTTACCATTTGTATATTTTGATTGCAGCTTATGGTAAGCTCCAAAGATATTGGTGCTGTCAGGTGACTCGTGGTTCTTGTTATCAAAATCCGTCGACATGATATGGACATGTTTGGAGGTACCTACGTGGACATATTTGAAGGTAAAGCTCTGACTTGGTTTTTAGTGGTGTAATTGCTATGTACTTCTCCCTAGTCTCCTGCAACAATGATTTGGTATTCTCTTAAACCCAAGACTTTGTTTTCAACCGGAACTGGCTTGCAAGCCCCTTATCATAGATTTCTTTTTTTTTTCCTGAAATTTGAACGTGCTGCATCGATGTTTTGTAGAAATAATAATTGTCACCCGACATTTTTCTACGGTTTTTCTTTTCGGAAGTTTACATTCAATGCCTAATGTGACGAGGGAGTTTCAAACTTGGAAAAAGCAAAAACTAGTGTACAAAAGATAAATCTTGGAAAAATTCGGAGCTGCTTACCCATGCCCCATAGCCATATGAGAGATTTGGATGAACTCGCATGAAAATTATTGTCAATTATCAAGAATAGAGTGCTCTCCCTTTCTCCGAGTTATTATAAGTAAAGAGTGCAAAGTACTGGCTCAATCGAGCAAAGTGAAATTGGGTTGAAACAATCTGTCTTAAATCTGGTATGGCTTTAGTTTTGACTCTTTTGTTAACAGATTAGCAGATTTCCATTTGTTGCTTTGTTGTAAATTGTAAAGAAGATTCTTCCCCTCCCTCAAAAAAAATCAATAGCTATTCCTGAATTCCTCATTGGAGAGCTTCTTTGGTTCTACCTTTTTGGGTCTGAAACAACTACGTAATCTTTGCATAAATTTCCAAGTTTACTCTTTCGACACTAGAAAAATTCTATAAAAACCATAGACCAAAAGAACCAATCAACTAGAGTGAAGTGGTCTAATACTACTGAAACAAAATACAAAAAATATATGAAAAGTGGGTGAGAGAGTGGTCCACTCTGAGTGGTGGGGAGAGTCGATGAGAGGGCTTAGTGGTTGTAGTAGTCCCCTCTGTAAGAACCACCAGAAGATAAAATGTTTCAGTATGTCACATCATGCCATCACCTTGCATTTAAAGCTCCTAATTATTAATGAATGATTCATTTCAGACTTCCAATAAAAATTAGCCAAAATAAAACCTTTCTGACATCTTAACATACCCCCCCCCCAAAAAAAAGTCTCTCTCCCACATCAAATTCATCCCTCTAGAAATTGAACTTTTCAACAAATATTCAAGACCGTACGTATAAATAAAAGGGATGTATATATATGGGATGGAAGTTTTAGGGTTTATATATATAATGTTAAGAAAAAAAAGGGAGTTGGTTAATGGTTTTTATCAATCACAAGTGATTGTGAAAGTTTGGTGTGGCTAATTTATGACATGATGGTGGAACATCATTAATGCAAGTTGGACTTCGAAAATAACCAACTAATTTCATCTACTCTTTTATTATGTTTGCCTTTTTGCTCTTCACTGCCTAAAGATCTTGCCCAATGTAATTTTTTTTAGTTTTATATAGATTTAGGATCGTTAGATAAATAAAAATAGATGACTGAGATTAATTACTCGAACTCATGATTTCTAGAGATAATAACTTTCTTTTTCATCGTTGAGACCACTTATGATTTCAATTCTATCATATTTATAATATTATTTTGTATTTCGTCAGCATGAAATTATATCTTGAGAGAGGCTTTTAATTGGTTTGGAACATTATAATTTTATATGTAAACGATCAAATATCAATATTTATAATATGAAAAGGACATTTATTAAATGACATTAATAATAAAAGAAAATAATATTCTTTGTAGAGAATCCAGATTTAAGCAGTTGCATTTGTAAGGTGTGTATGGTTTGTCAATAACTACGAATGATTATGAACGAATACCGAATTAATAAAAAATAGTATAAAAAGGGATTTTTGAATTAACTTTCTTAATGTATAAAATATTCATGTTTGCTCTTTCTTGTATATATACGTTAGGGCAATGTCAAAGTAGCATATGGTAGTGATAGCCCGTCTTGTGTGCCGGGCTGAGAAGGTATGGTCGCCAGCACATTGCCAAGGAAACGACCCAGCTTTTGGTGCTTCTGCTTTTGGTTCTTTTAGGGAGGAAAACAAAGTGCTCCATGAAATCGGATGGCTGGCAGTGGCACTCCACCACATCAAACAAACATGATGCCGACACGTGTGGAGCAAGAATGGATGAAGGAATGATAGTATAATGATGATAAAATAATTAAATTTGACATTTCCATGGATTGCATATTTGTGCAGTGGGGGTCAGTGCAGTGCAGTGCAGTTGTGATTTTTATTAATGAAATTTTTACTCGTCTGTCTGACCACAAAACCCCAAAAGCAAACCCTAAACATGAGTACGGCCTCTCTAGCTTCCCTACCTCGAGGCTTTTTCCCTTATTTATGCTTTTGGGTGGGCAGGTGAGTCACCCACTCTATTTCTCTTTTTTCAATCATTTAAACTTATATCACTTGACTTCTTGTTTAGGGCTTTGGAATGGGCACCACTAATGCTGTAAACAAGTCGAGTCAAGCTCGAATATTATGAAGCTTGGCTCAACTCAAAATTAAAGTTCGATTTGGTTTAAAAATTCGTCAGTCTAAAATTTTTAAATTTGATTTAAATTCGAAATCGTGAATTGAAGCAGACCTCGTCAAACGAATTTAATGCTGACCCGTGTGAAAAGAAGGTGATGGATGGGTAAATGATAGTGTAATGATGTTAAAATAATTAATTTGACATTCTGTGGACTGTATATTGTGAATATATGTGCATATGGAACAGTGGTGGTGAGTACATTGCAGTTATGATACAGTTAATGAACCAATGAATGAATTTACTTTAATGATCCTACTAGTTGACATTAAACGTTTATATATTTTTAATTTGATGAGAGATAATTTTTTATTATTTGATATTAAATGTTTATATATGTAATATTTCTAGTGTTCGAACCCATAATCATAAGAAATAATAATAATTCTTTTATCATTAAAGTCATTGAGTTCATGCACCACAAACACACTCCCCCTGCCTGTATACTTGATGAATTTGAGTAGCTCAAGGTTTTTTAGTCTTTTAGGCCTCTCTCAGTATCTGTCTGTTCTTTTCTTTTACTTGTTCCATTGTAACACTGCTTCTTTATTTTCCACCCATACCCCCTACCTTCTTTGAATTTCTAAAAATCACCATATTTATGCTTCTAGGTAGGCTGGTGTTTGTTTCTCCTTTTTTTTTTCTATTCGTCACTAATATTTCAATAATTTTTTATCGGTGTTTCAAAATAACAATATGATTATTGACAGGGCCGTGGCTGGGGCGACGCGAACTGCGCGACCCTGCAGGGCCCCCAAAAAATGGGGCCCTAAAAAAATATATATATAATGGCATTTTTCCAATAAACGCCACTATAGATGGATCTATTGCGACGTTTTTTAAAAAAATGCCACTATTATTGTGGCATTATTGATAAAACACCATTATAGATAGATCTATCGCGGTGTTTGTTAAAAAACGTCACTATTATTGCCCCAAAATCGAATATATCTAAAAAATAAGGACCCCTTTATAAGAATTTGTACAGGGCCCCCGAAAACCCAGCCACGGCCCTGATTATTGATATTATCGGTTTATAATAAATCGGTCACTTACCATTAAGAGCCGTTACTAAGATAATAAAATACTAAGCGACATTAAATCAACTGATCTGACATCGTTTGATCACTAGGACAACTCTTTTGACCATGAAGCATAGGTCCTACGTTTATCTTTGCAAAGAAGAAGCCAAAAGCATAGCCAAGCTCCGTGAACTAAATGCGGAGTCGATAGTATGAACATAGAGCACTAATGCAGTCGTCGAGGATATAGCACCGAGAAGAAGGTGTAGACAACCTCACATTGGCCCTAATCAGACACATACATAGCTGATGATAGGTTTAATGCTGATATCAAATAGAGAAGAGTCAAACGACTGATGAAAATGGATGTCCCGTGTGGTTAAATAATGTCAAGTAAGTTGGCTTAACGTACCACATCTAGTGGCAGAGTCACAACTTAGTGAGGGTGGGCACATGTTCACCCTAAAATCCGAATTTTATTCTATTATTTATTTATTTTATTGATGATACCAACCATAAATTTTTTTTGTGTCCACCTGAAATTTGAGTTTTCTTCGATTAGTTACTTATTTTACCGACGGTGACGGTACTTACCTAATATTTTATTTGTACTCATTCTATTTAAAAAATTTATTTTGTTAACATATATGTGTATACCCTTAAAAATATTTATGGAACCGTAACTGGTCACATCAACATTTTATTATCCAGTGATTGTTAGCTGCAAGTGATCAATTTGGCCATATCGTTACTTTTAAAACGTGAATGACCTTTTATATAGTATACCGTTTTTTATATGAGTCTTGTACATTTCATTGAATAGGCTCCGTGTTTAGGGCATTGGGATGGGCACTCCCCTACATTGCTAAAGCTATACGCAATAAATAGGGCGAATAGTGTGGTGAATGTCCTGGTGTCTCGGTCAAATTTGAAGCTTAACACTGTACTACTCTGCCTGTAGGGATAGTTGGGGGTTTAAGAATATGAAGGCTACGTACTTGTATATTTAAGGTTCCCTTCCTTCTTTTAAAAGGATTAGGTACATATGTACAACACATTTCCCTTCATGCTTTTATTTTAAATTAATTGTTGCATGTGCCGTATTGGGTTTGCCAAAATGCTAGTGTTCACGCATTCCGTTATTAAACTTGATCGACACGGTATAATTGTTACCAAAGACTTTGGTTTTTAGGAGACATTTAATTTAATAGGTAAGATCTAGGGTTTTCGTCCTCATCAAATTGAAATTAAACATATAAAGATAACCTAACTTGATTTAGTTAATTATGGTCACCATAAAATAATTAATTATATCCTTTTGACTATGGAAATTTGTAGTTTTATTAACTTAATTAAGAGAATATTATAATATGCTATCAATCGATTTCAATGATAAATTGGAATGTTATTTTTCATAGAGATTTCAAATTTGAACATTTGTATATGCAAGAGAGTATATATTATCAATGACTACTTTTTTTTAACAATAAGATTGTCCTTGTGATCAACCCCAAAGTATTACAAGAAAGAGTAAAGTATACAAATGGTCATTGACTATAGAACTTTGCTTTGTTAAGTCCATCGACTATTAAAAGTTACAAAATGATCATTTACTATAGATGCTTTGTTGAGTCCCACCTATTAAAAGTTACAAAATGATCACCTGACTATTCATATGATCCAAACTCGTCATTTTCTTTTGAAAAAGGATGATCCACTGAGCTAGAAGTTAACATGTTGACTAGTATATGATAAAATATGATCTCATAACTGTTTGGGTTGTATTGTATGGATCGCTCTTCGTTTACGTTATGTCATCGAGTCAGTGTTTGAAACATTATGTTGTGGGACCAGTGCTCGAAAGCAACGACAATGTCAATAAACATCATTAAAATATGTTTTTATCATATCTCAATAAGCATATTAACGTCCAGCTCAAATGACTGTCAATTTTTTAACAAAAAATGATGAGTTTAAACATATGAATAACATCATATAATCGAGAGACCATTTATAACTTTTAGTAGTTGGAGACTAAACAAAATAATACCTTGTAGACGAGATCATTTGTATACTTTACCCTAAAAGAAATTATAGAAGTGAGGAGAATGGTAAAATTGCAATGTGGAGGTCATCATCAACAATTAAGAAGCCTTAGGGGCTAGAAATTATTTTATGGACCTGGATAACCACATCATCTCCTAGTGAATCACATTTATTAATTTTAAAATTACATCCAAATAACATTCAACTCCTTATTTATACTTAGGAAATAAGAATATTCACCTTAAAAGAAATGAGATAAAAAAATATCATTAATTGGGATTACTGATAACGTGGTGAGTTGAATCATGTGATAATTTTTGACAAAGGTCACAGAGCAGGGCACACGTCTGCCGGGGACCATTTTTTTCTGGTATTTTTATTGTCCCATATGGCTTTGAAAAGCAAAGACTGATAAATTTCTTAGAGTTAAGTAATAAACTGGTTTCACCTTTTTCTACATGAAATATATAATAATATACTAATTATCATGTCAAGCAAGTGGGTATTCAGTCATTCCCCTGCCCATGCAAAAAGCAAAAGATAAATAAAGCCAAATACCATGCCATGAGGGACCTATTGGACTGCCCGAGAAATTTAAAGCTTTTGTTTGTACTTTTATCGAAATCAAATCAAATTTTTTTTACTCTCTATATAAAAATTCAAACCATTTTTTACTCATAAAATGCAAATTTACCCCTTCCTCAAGTTATTAATCTTAACTAGCATATCAGTAGTAATTGTATGAGAAAAGCTTCATAGGTATTTGTACTGTTTAAAAGAAAACAAATATACCCCTCGCATTATTTTTTTTCTCAATGTAGTTTTTCAATTCATAAAACAAATTTAATATGACCCTTTCACCAATATATTTTCGTGGTTGACTGTCACGTCAGTATAATGAACTGCCATATCAACACCGTAACTGTCAACGACGAAAAAATATTGATCAAAGAGTCATATTGAATTTATTTTCTGAATTGAAAGATCATATTAATCATATTAATTTTTCTTTCAAAAAAGATACAAAAGCCTCTAATGCATTTTTGTCTAATTATATTGTAGATGACTACTTGTTAGTTTCATTTAAGCCCAATGGAACTCCACAAAATCTGGATAATTAATATTTTACACTTTAAAAATAAATGTATTAGATCATGTACATAAAATTAAGAAAAAAAGGAACGGTGGGAAATATATATAAAAGATTATTATTATTATTATTATTTTGGTAAAAATAGTATGAATTGTTGTTTTATAGGTTGAAAAACTAATAAATTAAATTCCCAATTAATGACTTTTGGTTGCTTTGATCTTATGGCCATGACTTTATGTTTGATTCTGATAGCTTGTCTGATTAAAGTTAAATCCCATTATGTCTCTTTATTCTCATGTACTCGTTTTGATTTTTATTTTATTTTGTTTAATAATTACTTTTTAAAAAAAAAATTGATTTGGTAACCTGTCTGCTCCATTGACATCTTGCTGCTATATATATGGGTTTGAAAGGCAAAGAACAAGGAAGTGTCTATCCCTTGTGTCACTGGGGGCCTCCCAAAGCACCCCCCCACCTTTGTGTAAAACCTCAGCAAAGGCATAAAATTAAAAGGGAAAAAAAGGTTATTCCTTCTTTTATTCTCCTAGATTTTAACAACTTTGCCTAGAATTAAACATTAATATAAGGATAATTTTGTTCCAAGCTGAAAAGATTTTTAGATGATTTTATGAACTACCCATGAAGGGTTTTCTTTCTCTTTTACCACCCAAATAAAAATTATAAGAATAATTATGAGATATCGATGATAAAATAGATTATTGTTTTTTCTAAATAAATTTGAGTTCAAATGTTAAGTCTATAGAGGTGTTAGAGTGTGTGTTTTTAAAATTCTAACTAGACACTGTCATTTTTTGGGTACAAATTCTAAATCTAATCCTAATCCTATTCAGAGGGGAGATGAAGGAGGACTATATGGGAAGAAAGATGAGTACTCCTAGTGGCTATAGAATCCATGACCATTGACAGATCCATAAATATTATTGATGTGAGCACATATATGTTAACAACAAAAAATTTTAAACAGATAGTTACAAATAAAATTTTAATGTGAGCACCATTAGTAAAATAAGTAACTAATCGAAGAAAAATCAGATTTTAGGGTGGGCACCGTCAATAAAATAAGTAACCAACAGAAGAAAACTCAGATTTCACGATGAGCACGAAAAATTCTAGGTTGAGCACTATCAATAAAACAAGTAACTAATTGAAGAAAATTCGAATTTCAGTGCCCACACTTACCAAGCTGTGGCTCCGTCATTGCCCATGATTTAAGGGAATAGGAGGGAACAAAGATGAACAACTTGGCCAACCAGTCAAATGTACTTACTTTGAACAGATGCTATCTTATAATCACTTTAGAAATATATAAAAATATAAAAGAAATTGTATTGTTGCTTTGTTCAACATAATCTTGTTTTATAAAATAGCAAAATCCGGCAAAGCTTTCCTTGCACAATGAAAGCCATGGTTTTAATAAAGGAACAATGGTTGAAGGGAAAGCATGACATTATTGTACCGTTTGGACCGTTGTATTATATTTTACTATACAAAAATCAATGTGGATATTAATTTACCAAAAATTCCCACCATGATTCCTAAAAAAAACGCATAACTTTGTCTTCAACTTATCCTGCATATCTCAAGCTGCCATTTTTGTATCCTTTACTTGTTTTAGGATTGCCAAACTTTGGAGGAGACCCAAGATTACTGGCAAAATAAATTGACCCAAAACCCCTTAATTATTTTCCACAAAATTAGGTCGACAAAGAAAGTGATTTCATCGTGTCCTTGCTTAATCACAGAGGCACTTTTGTCTTTTCGATGCTTCGAAGTTGCGGTCCTTGATCCATGACAGTGACCGAACAACAAAAAAATTGGACCCATTTGTCTGCTATACGTGGTAATTATGATATCGTTGATAACACGAGGTTTTGTACACAAATTGAAAACTATTGAAGCCCTAATATATGAACCTAAGGCATGAAAATTTGTGCTTTGTAGAAGGAAACATCAGACTAGAGAACAAATTTTTTGGTAGGGATCTTTCTGTATATAAAAGACTATCTAGATCAGATGTTCTTGTCTTAAATTCCTTTTCCTTCTCTATATATATTACTTCTCTCTACATTCTTTTCCAATCGCTCTCTTCCATTTTTGTGATTAAAGGGGTGTGTTGCGGGTTTAAAAAATTTAGATGATTGACAACACACATCTTGACGTAATTGCTTAAATTTGAAATTTTTAGGGGAACAAATAATCTTTTTTATCACTAAAATAGTTCGATGGCTTAAAAAGTTAAAAATATTCTCCATACAAAACACGGATAATTATCTGATTCCGAAACCATTGCTCAAAATATGGAATAAAATCAATAAGTATCCTTTTGTTTCAAGGAAGCTTCCTCTCGGCAATTAGACATAGCAATTTGCAATTCAACGTTCAATCATTCTTTTGAAAAAAACAAAACATCAAAGTCTCTATGGCTTTATTCTTAATATTCTTTCTTGAGACATCAAAGGAGTAGACCTTTTGCGGCGTTTTTGGTTCACAAACGTTGTTAACTGAAACGGGTTTTTGTTCTTATTAGTGTCGAGAGGTTTTCAGTAACGCTTAAAAATGCTGTTATAGGGATAAAAAAATTCACTAAAAACTAAAGGGTTAATCACCTGCATGCTGTATAAATATGGTCCAACCATAGGAACCAAACCTGAATTTGAGGGATTTCTTTATATAGTATTATATTGTTTTTTGCCCATTTTGCTTTTGTCTAAAACTTCATAAATAAACTTTGATGACATGCGATTTTTTTTTTTTGGAGAAAAAGGATTGAAAGCTTTTGCTTTCCATTCCCTCTCTCTTTTGTGTTCTACCCAATTAATTTTAATTGAGGTGATACCCTTTGTTCACAAAGTGTAAAAGCATATAAAAATGATTATAAAAAGCTAAAAATTATAAGGGAAATGTAAAGTGCTCCATTACAATTACCAAGGATCACTTCAAATGTAGTTCATACTTTTATGATCGTTAAAGGGGACGTCCTTCTCTCTCTCTTTTTCTTCTCTCTATCATTTTTCTTCTTTCTTTTTCTTCTCTCTAAGTGAAAAACATACAAAATCAATTAGATTTCATATTTACGTAGGAATGTATAATATATTGATTTGGATCTCTCACGGCTGGTTTGAAAGGAAGGACGTGGTGCTTTTTCTTCTCTCCTTTTGTTGCTCTCTCTGTCTTTCTTGTCTCCTTGTCTGCTCTCTTTTTCTTCTCTCCTGTGAAGCACAGGGACGGCAAAGGAACCCCGTTCCAAACCCAGCACCACAAACCCTAAGTCATGAAGATATATTGTACTCAATTTGGCACCCCCAATGTGAACTCCAGATTAAGCTTCCCTGATGAGCTTAAGCACTTTAGATCCATATCCTTCTGCACCCGAAAGAAAAAACAAATATGTAATAAAATGTAGAAAAATCCAGCGTCTGTCCTGTTACGGCTCGAGGATGTAAGACGATACGAACGTTTCATGGTGAAGGTTATTTTGGGAAATACGAACCTGGAGAGAAGGTAAGTTTGGTGGAGAATCCTTGGGTTTTCCATGCAGCAAAGCTTCCCTGTTGGGAACCAACAGAAAGAGAGAATATTTGATATCAGTGGAAGCCATGCATGCATGCAGAATAAAGAAGCAAACTGAGAAAAGAAATCTATCTTTTACTGTCTCGTTCGTGGTTGTTGCTCTCAGTCACACACACTACATTTTATGCTAATTGAAAATAAAGTGAAACCCATGTGATTTCCCGTTACCCATAAACGAGGTTCAAAGGCATAGCTTTAGTGCCGATATTCAATAAATGTTTCCACTAATCGGGCCACCACACTTTGTAGCTTTGAGACTAAGTTTTCCATTTGTAGGACCCTAACCGAGCCCACAAAATCATAAGAAAAGAGATATCTCCATTTTTTTAGGTGGATTTGTCATTTGGGAATTTGGATTCTCTCCGTTCTTGGAATATGATAAGGTGATCAGTGGCTTCCATTATTTATTTTTACTCCCTTTCTCACACCCACCCACTCACTGTCATCTCCATTTGCTCCTGAGCATAATATTAAATTTGTCGTAACAACTTTTAAGATCATTGTGATATCATAATCGTAATTTAAAAGCTACGTTATAATATCTGTATCATTCGTAATCGTAATAGTAATCGTAATTTAGTGTCGTGCATGTGATAGTGGAAATAAAGAAACCTAGATAAAGCTAAAACTATACAACAGATAGACAGAAAGAAATGGGATCTTTTAGTTACAATTCTAATGCAAACATTCTTTTATATATATATATATACATGTGACAGACGCAAACTGATGTCAGTTCCAGTCAAACATACTTTGTGATATTTTTCTACAAAGTTTCAAGCAAACTACAAGCATTATCTGATTAAAAATCTTGTTTTAGAGTATATAAACTACATGCATTCTACTGTTTTATGTTTCTTCGGATTTAAAAGAGGAAAAAAAACATTTTACGTTCCTGTGGTGGCTGTGACATCGATCCCAGTGTATCATTATTTTCTTTTTCCAGAAAAAGAATTCAGAGTAACCAATGAGTATACAGGAAGGAAAGAAATGAAACAGAAAGGACAGGCGCACCTTGATTGGTTAGCCAAACTAGTATTACTAATAGTAGCATTGTAGTACGCAGCAGGACTAACCTTGACGAGTTGCTCCACAGTCCATGGTTGTCTTGTTGAGCATTCAATGATGACGATCTTCCCTGATGAACTGATGATGATATCTCTGATCTTCTCGGCTTTTGAATGTCAAACATCATATCTTCAGAAGTATCCCCAGATGATCCATTTTCAAATTGCCCTGTTTAATCAAACCCATAATTCAACACCATATATACATATATATGTATATAATTCAACGAGAACGATGATGAATTATTGGGTTGATAACCTGATGATGCAGCTGCTCTGTCAGTGGTCTTCACGGTTCGATACATCTGCAGGCAAATTAAGAGTAGGATAATGAGTAAGGTAAACAAAGTTTAATTTACCTTCATCTTTAGTAGCTAAAAAGATGACAAATAAAGTAAAAACCAGAAAGTAGACTTAATAGTAAACTTTATTTGTGTATAACAGACATTAGGCAGTGTGAAAGAGTGCATGCAAACTAAGCAAGTACGAACTGTAAAAAGAAAGAAAGGGAAACGAATATGTAACCGAGCAAAGAAAGCTTTTATCTTTGTATATGAAAATGTGTGCATTTGTGAAACGAGGAACAGTAAATAACTCTTGGTTTAACCATGGTTAAGGGAGGGAGGTTAAAAGGAACCTATCTGAAGAAGATATCATTGAGAAATGATAGTGTCTTTGTACTTTATCTCTATCACTGTGAGAGAAAATACTTTTTTAATGAACAAGAACAAAACAATGAATTTAAGTGAGAAACTTGTCTCGGCTTAGCTATTGACTCGGTTTTTGAATACCTTGGGTTTTGTCTTACTCGTTTTATTACTGCTGTTCTCTCTCTCTCTCTCTCTCTCTCTCTCTCTAATTGAATTCTTTTCGTTTACAAGGGCTGGTTCATTCTTCCAAGCAAAAAGCTGTTTATTAGCTTGCAGAATCAACAGATCTAGTCGAAAAAGAAGTGCCGAGGATTTGGGAGACCCTCTGCAAGGAAACATTGGAATTTGTAATCTATATTATTAACATCTTCCCGTAATGCTGACTGTTTAAAATTGCAAACTCAGCTTACTTCCACCATTAACGCCGTGCATCATAAGCTTGAGGAAGGAAGTAAGCTCAGGAGAAGAAAACCAAAGTTGCAGATTGTATTCATGTTTCCTTTCATTCTAACGAAAACCCTTGCGGGTACAATGCTATTTTTACCTGAAGATGGGATTTGACGTGTGCCAAGGTAAGATCTTTGACATCCATTAGCTCGAGAACTGACTTGGGAGTAGCTCCTAAAACCGTAACAAGAAGAAATATAATAGAGGAAATATGCATAATAGCATTCTTTTTATGTTTCCTGTTCTCCTAGAGATGCTTAAAATCAAAACAAGGCAACGGTGAAAGAAGGTGGGGGGGAGTGAATAGTAGAGAGAGAGAGACAGCATACTTTCATGACCACCCAATAGCTCAACAGCATGAACAAAGCGAGCGTGGAGTGTAGTGGTCCATCGCATCCTTGGAGCTCTCATGCTTCGTTTAGCTGGGAACCTGGACATGAATCTTGATCTCATCAATCCTTGGGGCTGGAAGGGGTTGAAGCTGGTGGTGTTAATTTTGTTAGTAACCAAATAAGGAGAGGAAGAAGCTAAAGATGAATCCAAGGGCTGTTGAGGAAACGGGAAAGGAGGAGGAGGGTTTTGGTAGACGGGAATTCCCCTTATGGGTCTCAAGAACCCAAACTCTTGTCCTAGCCCTTGTTGTTGATGCTGCTGATGTTGATATAGCACCGGATGTTGCAGTTGGCTGTGATGGTGAGGGAACTGGTTCTGCTGATAAGACTGCAAAATATTACCATTGTAATCTGAGGCAGTGGCGCTCCCGTTTCGGACAAGGTGATGAAACTGGTTGGGGTTTGACCCTGAAACCCTCGGATTGGAGAAGGAGAGCTCAAAGCAGTTATCGAGTTTCGCCATTGAAGACACGGAGTTCCTCGATGTGGGTTTGCTGTTTGGTGGACTGATTTGCAAGGATAAATCCGGTTGTACAGGAAACAGCTCCATCTTTCCGACCCCTCCCCCTTTCTTGCTGTTGCTGTATTCTTTAGATACAGCAATTTGCAAAAATGATATAACTAAAGGATTAGGTTAGGTCTCTATTATAAAAATACAAAGGAGATGAAGAAGAAGAAGAAGAGGTGATCCAAGCAGCAAAAAGGTTTCAAACTAGGCTTATCTTCCAACGGAACAGATTAGTGGTTGCAGAGATTGGAGATTGAAAAAGAGAAAAGAATATGTGAGAAAATGACACTTGAGAGAGAGGAAGATGTAGAAGAAGAAGAAGAGCAGTGTAATATAAGTAGAGGTATTTTTTTTGGGGGGTTGGGGTCTATAGCATAGGGTACTACTTTTCTTCCTCTCCTAGGCCCTTAAGAAATTAGATAAAAAATAACATTAAAAAACTTAAATATAACAAACGGTTCAAATGATAAGCATATTAATATCTATTGAATAATATCTCAAGTTTAAATCTTTATATTTATTCACCCATCCAAAGACGAAGCCACCTTATGAATAGGAGGAGCAGCTGCCCCTAACATTGACGGACTAATTACATTTTAAGTCATTGAACATTTTTGAAATTATTACAATTAAGTCTTTATCTCTCTCCCCCAAATTTATTGGTATAATTATTTTTTAGATACTATCAGTTTTAAAATTAATAGAATTAAGTATTGACCCAAAATTTATATGATTTAATTATTTTTTAAAATATTTAAAATTTTAAATTAGTAGAATTAAACCCTCAATCTCTTAATTTTTTATGATTTAAATATTTTTTAATATCTTATTTATTTTAAAATTAAACAACTTATCTCAGAAGTTTAAATTACGGTTATGGTAACCCTTTTGTTGCGGTGCGTTACGTTTATCACGATTATGGCAAAAGCATATGTTATAATGTGTATCGTCATTGCGCAATAACGATTTTCAGATGATATCTTTATGTTTATGTAACAATTGTTGTTTCGATAACAGGCTGTTATCTGTTATATAAATCAATGTTTTTCACTCGTAATTTAATTTTGACTCCGTCCCTGCACTCACTAAAATTAAGTACACGACATGAATCGGTCCAAATTAATAAATGCAAAGCTTTAAAATAAGAAGGAAAAGAAAACTTATATAAGAGACTTTTGATTCCTTTTCTATTAACTCTCCGTTTCTCTTTTCTTTCCTTTCTATCTTTTCTTCTTTTTCTTTTAGAGGATAAAAAGAAGTTTTTTTTTATATGCTAATAATAATACTTTACTTTAACGTGTGCATTTGTCTCTCAACAACTCATGCTTACCTTTATATAACACCCATGCACTCTTCTTTCTAACTCTTTAACTCAATCCTGTTGCTCTGCTCATCTTCTCCTCCTTTATTCCCTAAATTCCAAAACTAAATTAAATTGCATTAACATTGTTTATATCAACCAAAAATATATAATTAAATCCCATCAAATTTAATATATTAGGCAAAATTCAAATTTCGTAAAAAAAACTTTTAAAGGAATAGACACACGATTTTATATTAGGGATGAACTTATAAAATTTCAAGCGATTGTGAACTTATAAAATTTCAAAAATAAAAACATATTAACAGTAAAAAATTTAAAAAATATAAAATAATTTAATTTTTTTAGAAAAAATGATTGTTTCGACCACCTCTCTCAATTAGTTCATGTATATGAATGTGACTTAATTTTTTTAATATATTTTGTTAACAAGATATGAGTCATATATATTAATTATTTATGAAATATAAATTCAAGAATTATTAAGTAAATCTGAAATTACCACTAATAAAATAATGGGATGGGTTTTCTAAACACGTGCTTTGATATACTATTTATAATTTACAAGAATTTATACAATTTTCTATAGTTTTACTCAATAAAAAATTAATGTATAAACTGAAATATAAAAATGAAAATTCCTAACAACAATAATAATAATAATAAACGATAAAGTTAATATATTTTTTCTTTGGGGTAAAATATACATTTAGTACCTAAACTATCAGTTTTAATCCGTTTTAGTACCTAAACTTTTATTTTTTTCAAAATCATACATAATGTTTAGTTTTTGTTTCATTTTAGTGCCCCACCGTTTAAAACGTAACACGTTTAGTACCTAAACTACCAATTCTGGTCCATTTTAGTACCTAAGCTTTCAATTTTCCCCTAAAATTTAACGTTAAATTTTGAATGAGGTACTAAAATGAAACAAAAACTAAGCTTTAGGTATGTTTTTTAAAAAATTGAAAGTTTAGATACTAAAATAGATCAAAATTGATAGTTTAGGTACTAAATTGTAATTTAGCCTTTTTCTTTTGATGATTCAGACACTGTTCTGGAATTGAAATGACGTAGGCCGAGTAAATTAATATATACCCTTGATTCCATCCACTCATTTAGGCATAATGAAGCCACTAATTCCTACACTTTTTTTTTTTACTTTCGGTACGTATGTTTGTATGTATTTGAGTTTGGTCCCCACCACCCTAATTTCTCTTTTCATTTTCTCATTAACATTTAACTGTCTCGTGAGAATTCAAAAAGGCTATAATAATAAATAATAATTTTAGGGTAGATACGTATAACATATGGTCTCCTAGTAGACGGAAAGTCAAAGTAACCCCCTCCTCTATAAAGCATAGAGAGTGATATTTTCAAGGGTAGAGACGTCAGTGACAAATAATACTCCGAGACCCCGGTCGCAGCCTAAAATGTTCAGTGGACAAAAAGGAAAATGTGAGTGAGTAGAATGGATGAATTAAAGCGTCATCTTCAAAAGGCCATAAAGGCTATTTTAGATATAGGAGTCATATTTGCCTTTTAGAGACCATCTTATGCTTTTATTCATTTTCATTCAAAATATAATTACCGGTATTTAATCTGAATCAAATAATTACAAAGGTTCAATATGAAAATGATCCTCTCAATCCACTTGTTTCCATTCGTAAATGTTATGATTTAAATCTCTGATTTTACTTAACGAATATAGTGCATTATCCCACTGGACCAATTGATTATTGGAGTCATTTTATGTATATTATATACAAATTCTCTTAAAATCTAATTTAATTTAAGTTTAAATAAATATATATATATATGTCTGATTAAAATATATTTAGATTATTATTTTGATCATGGATGGACTTAGGAAAGGGAGGGTGGAGGTGGTCACCCTCTAAGAATCTAAAATTACCATATATTTTAGATTTTCTATGTATTTTTTTTATTGAAAATATGTCTTCTCCCTTAAAATTTTTCAAGTACGCCCCAAACGTAAAATCCTACATCCATCCCTGATTTTGATTGTACGTTATATTTACGAAATAAAACATGTATAATGCATAATAAATAACAAATCACCGAATACAACAATAACAATATGAATTCACATAGTCTTTAGTAGTGTCCTTTTACAAAAGACGGTGCCCATGAGTGTATTTTAATTTTATAACTAAAAGTTTAAATTAAATTTAATTCTATGATTAATATGATAAAATTGTAAAAATAATAATGTTAAATATACTGTAAATAACTCCTTCACTAGTAATATTTTCATCAAGCTATGGTAAAATTAACTTTCATGAAAAAAAATGTTAAATCTCATGTCAAAATATATGTATGGTCAGCAATGCACAAAGTTCTTTATAGCTTTCATTTATATCAATGAATAGTGCGTGTATTTTGTTTCTAGTTATAATTTATCAAATTGAAGTTTTTTTTTATTAATATAGAGTATTTGTTTAAAGATAACAACAGTTCATTTATTACATTTATTACGGAGAATATTAACGTTCAAAATATAGTAAATTCATCTATCCAATTGGTCATTTAACGATCATTGCGCTTAGTCATTTGATATGTCTTTATTTTGATAAAGTATTAAATATTAATTGTACTTTTTTCGTAGTATAAACAAATATGCATTTTTCATACTTTGTTTATTTTAATAACATTTTAAATTCAATGCAAAACTTTATATACAATAATTAATTAAACATTACAATTATTAGGGAAAAGTAAGTATGTGCATTATATATATATATGTAAAAAGTTATAAATTCTTCGATGGTTGACTCATTTACTAAAGTTAGGTGTGTGACTTGAATCGGTTCGGACTATTAAAGGCGAAACCTTGAAAACCTGAAGGATAATAAAAAAAGGCTTCATACCAAAAGAAGTATCCAAACTATATCGTTTTTCCCAAATAGGTGCCTAAACTATTTTTTGACTCATCCAAGTGCCTAACGTTACAAACGTTACCCGTTTAGGTGTCCAGGCCATCAACGATGTTAATTTAACTGTTAAGTGACATGTGTCACAGTCTAGTAAATTTAAAAATTATATATATATATATATATATATATATATATATATATATATAAAGTTTTTTTTAAAATAAACCAAAAACTTTGAAAACTTTCATTTCAACTTCTAAAACTACGTCGACCGCTGTCCTTTGCCATCGACGAAGCTTCACTAACCTCCCCTCCACCCGACGACCAAAACCCTTATGAAATCGTGGCCGATCAACGACGAATCGACGTTTTATACCCTGCAAACTCTAGGTTGAAAATCGCAATCTCATGCAATTTCGACGGCTAATCATCGACAAATACATCGATGTATGACTAGGAGGATGGCAAGGATTACGTCGGCGATGGTGGTCGTTGCCGAAAAGGGTGAAAGTGGCAAATTAAGGTTAAAATTTGAGGATTTTAGGGATTTGTGGACTATTTTATAATTTAAGAGAAATTAGTTTTTTTATAAATATAATAATATTTTCAGTATATTATTTTTTTTTTTAAATTACCATATTGTGACACGTGTCACTTAACGAGAGAAATTAATGCCGTTGTCGGCCCAGACACCTAAACGGGTAATATTTGTAAAATTAGGCACTTGAATGAGTCAAAAAATAGTTTGGGCACCTATTTGGGGAAAAGTATAGTTTGGGTACTTATTTTGGTATTAAGCCTAAAAAATTATAAATTCCGTAAATATTAATTAGTAATAAATAGAATATCATTTCGAAAGAATTTTGTTTTGAAATGGAACTGAAATAAAGAGACGTGATCCAGTTGAGCATTGCTGGGGTTTTTCAAATTGCTTAAATTGATGAAACATTGTAGCTCCGATGTTCCATCATCCATGGAGACCATTCATCACAAACCACCTAGCCCTAGTAATAAATATATTACCCCTCTCATTTACTGTAGTAAAAAAATTCCTATCTGGCAAAGGTTTAATTTCTAAACCTTTTGCATGGACTCAGACGTCAGAATCTTCATTAGATGGC